ATATTTGAGTATCTAATGCTTAACACTAAAAGCAAAATTTGTAAGGCTTTTAAATTTAATTGAACATGTAACTGGTTTGGTATATAACCTCAGTGTTTTGTTTGTTTCTTTCTTTCTTTCTAATCTATTTGCAATAACAAACTTTGCTGATGGTTTTGCCTGCTTCTGAATTTCCCCTTTTGAGTTTGACGAAGAGGGGGCTGAAGGGGGATCTCATCATGCTCTACAATTACTTGAAAGGACATTGTAGAGAGGTTGGTGCTGGTCTCTTCTCACAGGTAATTAGGGACAGAACCAGGGGGAAGGGTTGCAAGTTGCAACAGGGCAGGTTTAGGCTGGACATTGGGAAGAAATTCTTCACGGAAAGAGGGGTCCGACACTGGAACAGACTGCCTAGGGAGGTGGTTGAGTCACCATCCCTGGATGTGTTCAAGTGTCTTTTAGATGGGGTGTTGGGTGATCTGGTTTAGGGGTGACCTTGTAGTGTAGGGTTAATGGTTGGACTTGATGATCCCAAGGGTCTTTTCCAACCTGAATTGTTCTATGATTCTATGATTCTATGATCTTCACACAAAGGTAGATACCCTGAGGGTTATTTTGAGCAATCATCAGAAAGCTTGCCAGAGAAATAAAGCATATGCGTATAGAAAGTACGTCTAGTAAGAAACACACAGATAAAAACAACATGGGAAAAAGCTACTAGGAATCTTGATCTACAACCAGAACTAAGGGCCCCAGCAAGAACCAGTCAAGACATGTGTGTGCCCTACTTGGTAACATGAGAATAAAGGCAGCTCTGCAGCCAAGGCTCTTTGCCAAGCCTCAACGCATGCAGGAAACAACCAGGGCATGGGGGGAGTTTACACGCCTGCGATCAGACCATGAAAGCCATGCGAGAAGAATTCTGGGCACCACAATATAATGCTGGTTATAGCTCTGCGTAAATGAAATGCTAAGGGATAAATGCTTCCTTGTGATAAACGCCCGTCCCCTGAAAGCAAAACATTCGTAGAAGAAACACATTTCCACTAATCCGAAAACCAGCTAAGATGACATATGCATCAGCTCACTTCTTTTAAGTGCTTGTCTTTGGGACAGAACCTATTGCACAGGATCTGTGGCTCTGGGACATGAAACACCCTTATGAACAGCCTGGAGTCTGCCAACCCACAATTTTCAGACCTCCAAGTCAATTAGCCTCCAACCACTGCACTTAGCTACCACTAAAGCATAGCAGATTAATGGATATTAACCAAGAAAGGGATGCTTCTACGTTTCTACAGAAGCTTTGTTTGTTTACAATATAAAGCTTATTTTTCAAGGTACTTGATAATTTAACCCTCACCTTCAAAAGGGTAGGAAAAAAAACCTCTTTAAAATGAAATTCTGCTAAGTTTTACATGGTCTCCATCCAGTGTAATTTTACAAAATCTACTTTGAAATCACCATTTTATCAGAAATTTTCATTTGGTATTAAGGTAGTACATTCCCTGGCCTTTTAGTTATTACAAAAATTTCAATCTAAATTATTTTTATCAATAGAAGGAAGATCATTTTTGTCCAGTGATCTTTTTCCTGGGAAAGCGAAGAATTTAAGGCCGGAAGCCTTCACCGCCTCCAGGGCTGCAGCCTCGTAACAGGATCTCTTTACTTTTTTCTTTAGCCTTGCAGTCTTGAGTTTTCACATTATCAGCCATTTCTCACAATTCCACATATTCAGATATCCCCCCAGATTCACGCACAACTTTTGTCATAGTTTTAACACCACCCTGAAAACCTTCCCTTCCTTATTCCTTTGCTAATAAGTTCCTCTGATGCAGGGATTCAAGTTTCCTGCTCTGGCCACTTCAGAAGGCTTTAAAACGTTTTTCCTGGTGTTATTTTGCTGAGGGAGGAGGAAGATTACCTGTCTTTTCCAGACTTTGACCCTCTGCTTCTCTCCATGATGCCAAGGCCCTGCCCTGGCAGTAGCCATGTCCTCCTTCCCTGCCTAAAATGGAGGCACACCAAAGGGGCAGGAGCAGCCAGGAAAAAATAAAAGGGCAGAATTAGATCCAAAGAGAAGCTGAAGAAGCGCGTGCGGAGGCATCTGGAGTCCAGCCCAGCTCCACCCTGCGTGAGGCAGCCATGGTGGGAAGCTGCCCTGTAAGGAGACGCTTGGTTCCCTCTGACGGGCTGAATGACACAGTTGCGTAAACCATTCCCTTGCGAGCCAGCAGCCTGCCTTCCCCTCAGGTTGTCTCCAGGCACCAGTCCAGATGCTTTTTTCACATATCTTTCTGCAACATATGCCTGTGACAGCTCAGCTGTCTCCCCGCTGCCCACTCAAGATGGCGGCCACAGTCTTCCCTTCATGCTGGCCGGCTCCTGACATGACTTCCTACTTCTTACTTCAGCACGAGGTAGCAGTGCATCATCTGGGCCCCCTGGCTTCCCCCTTCACACAAGTCAAAGACCATATTTCTCTGTGGACTCAGCTGGACTTTGTCTGTATCTCCTCCTTATCCAGCATCACCACCCTCTTCCCAAGGAATGACATTAAATTCCCATCTTTCACTCCACCAGGTAACAATCTAGGACTTAAATAGAATATATGTGTTTTAACATTATATTTGTATGGCAGGCAACAATACCATTTAAATTCCAATATCCATCTTAGATCTCCAGTTTCTCCAGAGCTGTCTTTGTTTCTGCCGGATTTTTAAGTGTGAAATTCTGCAACATAGGCCACTTAATTTTTCCTAGATACGCCTCTAGGATGGCACAGCTCCTTGGACCACATATATTAGGCACAATAACTCATTCCCAGTGATGTTTTTTAAGTAGTAAAGTCTTTCCAGCCTTTTAGCATAATTGCAGCCAAAACCCTCCCAACACATCGGGTTTTCTCAGTGATGCAGCTGCAGAGTCTCAGGGGACGTGGAAGATCCTGGCAGCACAGGTTAAGATTCAGAAAACCAAGAAACAAGAAATTTTTGTTTCATGTGCAGCAATGGTGATACTCTGATGCTGATTACATTCTCCGGAACTAAACACAATTTCACAACAAAATGCATGCAGCTGATGAGGCTATTAGCAATGACCTGCCAGAGAGAGAAAGGGAGAAGCTGGCATTTACTCACTTGTGGTTTTTTCTTCCCTAAGCTTTCCGACAGCCACTCCTTTTTCAGAATGGTATTGTCTTAACATTCTTTGTGATAATAAAGCCTCAGGCTGCTTTCTTCAATGTTGACATTATTCCTGTGTATCTTCTGCTTGCGGAGGCGAAGCGGTTGCCATCCGTATTGTTATTATCAGCTTATCAGCTTCTTAATGCACACAAAGCAATGCTGTTAGGGAACATAACTATGGCTACTCTGCATGTAATTTAAGAAACTCTATTCAACAGGGAAAGACAAAGAACTGTACAGTGTAGGAAAGGGAATAAAACCAGAAAGAGGATACAAGAGAGGATCAGAAAGAAGATGGAAGACACTAGAATGAGGAACATCTGCCAAATACATGTTACAACAGATGGGAGCGAGGTGAGATGAGAAGATCAGGTGGAGAGATTTCTGTGGGGAAGGCGTAAGAAGAAACAGCAAACACCACAGCCTAGAAGATAACACAGGGAGGGAAGTGGCACTGAAAGGGAGTACCCCAGGAAAACCAATATTGCAGTTTAGATATCTTTCCCCGGTTTGTCTCTTAGCCCTAGAAAAGGGATGAGGAGGCCTTGAACAGGGTTTATTTTACACTCTCCTCCCTAAGGAGACATTTCACTGTCTTCTCTCATTTCTAAAATGGGACCAGAGCTTCCTTTGGAGCCACTACGCACAGCTTACACAGCAAGCATGTCCAAAACTGAATTTCACGTTCTGAAATATTTGTATTTAAGATGGCATGTGTATTTTTCCCTAGAAAGCATGAACAGACACTTGCCACAGATCGCTACAGTGTAAGAGTGGGCAGATATTTTTTTATCTCTCATTAGGTGACACTGCAGGATTACATTCCAGTTTGTCTAGGAATATATTGTAGTCTGCTCACCCTTAAGGCTTGAACATTCAAGCCGTATTAAAAAGAGTCTGAAAAGGAAATCTTAATAATTGTCAAACTACCCTTAACAAAGTGTCTAGAGACTGGGCTCAAAACTACTTTTAGCCACTTGTAACAGTCCTTCTAGAACAGTGAATAACAAGAAGACAAGAAGTCTTCAATAGCGACACGTCTTCCGTTGGCTATGAAGTCAACTAACTGTGATAAAGAACATGTTAAAGAACTGAAAGAATAAACGAAGCTGCAAAAATTAATGTAAGACCAGGAGCAAACAATACCAGAATACTACCTGTCATGTTGCTGTCAACCAGTGGGCTCCGAAAGAGAACAATTTATCAACACTTTTTGTCTGCTCCCTGTTGACGTTTGTCTTCAAGTACTTGCTCCTCGCCTGCATTATGAAAAGCTCTCCACACCTGACTGATGAAGCCACCCTATTTCTACTTGAAGGGCTGAAATACTACTTGGTTTAGTGGGTGAAACCCTGAACCAGGTGTCAGTGATGGAGTTGCACACAATAAGCTTGCACAACAACAGACTTGATCCGTCTAAGGGATTGTTAGATCATATTATCTGTCTCTCTGGAAAGATTTCTTCAATATCCTGGGACAGACTGAAAGACCTCTAAGCCGATCTTCACAAACACAACAGTAGCTTATAAGAAAGAGTGCACAAATCTTTAGTCACGAGGCTTCTAATTTATAGACTTAGCTTCAAGTTCTTTCTCTACAAATCCTCTTTCCAGTTAGCAATAAAAAAGGTCCAATTCTAGTTCTTCCCTTATTGTCTTTATTTATTATGCACCATGAGAAATTTACCAAGATTTTTCCAAACAAGAATGAAAGATTAACTTTTTGTAGGTACAGCCCTCAGGACGCAACTGTCTGAAAAGCATCTTTCAGGGTAGCAATTAACAAAATCAAAAGGAAAGTAAAAATTTTAAGATACGCAAAAAGGAACTCCTATGCAGAAACAATCCTGTGGAGTAAGCCTTCCCCGAGCCTGTGAGGCACCACTGCCTCCCGAGGAATGGCACAAAGCTGGTAGGGAGGTGGCTTCATCGTGCTCCCAAAAACAAGCTTTGTGTTGACTTCTTTCACTCCTTCTGGCAGGGTGAATGTGAATGCCTGTAACAAGGTGGAGAAGACAATAAAGAGCTCCATCCTTGCCAACAGCTCCCCCATACACACGCGGTGCCCTGTGAGAAGACAGAAAAGGCAATCAGCCAAAGGATTTCCATCACACCTCCCTTTCTAATCTGCTTGGGGTTCTGTTTGTTTGCTTGTTTTCTGAAGACTTTGTGCTTTTCTTTTAACTGGCTTTCTCATTTAATGATTCAGAATTGAAAAGGTGCTTGTATTTCCACCGAAACTTTAACCTATTTTACAGCAGGCAGCAAGATATTGTCGAATCATGGAATGTGTTGCATTGGAAGGGATCTTGAAAGGTCATCTAGTCCAACCACCCTGGAGTGAGCAGAGGCATCTTTAACATTCTAGAAATGATCACCAGGGTTCCATAATTCACATTTACAATCTTCCTGGCACTATGCATTTTGCTGTTACTGTTTTGATAACTGGATCTCTCCTCCATGAGAAACTGGATCTCTCTTCCAAGAGAAATTTCCTTCTCTTCTAATCTTTTTCCACATACAACTGGACTTCTTTCTGCCTGGAGAACTTTAAAACAGTGGAATGTGTTTATATAACTATTTTAGATGCCTTCCCAGTTATGGTGGAGAATGCGTGGATCTTAAGATGTTATCAGGAGTAAGTAAATCCCTGTTCAGTGCACATACCTATTGAAAATGGTAAGAATGCCTCTCTGTTCACAAAGTTTCCATCTTTATCCAGAAAGTGGCCTGGGTTGAACTGATCAGGTGTCTCCCATTTCCCGGGATCAGAAAGAACAGAGTCAATATTTGCTAAAATTGTGGTGTTCTGAAATAAAGGAGCAGCAGTTTCAGTTCTGTCTTATTGTTCATATTCATTGGACAAGCGAATAATCACAAAGCAGCAAAGATTTTGAAGTCCTAATTTGAAGTAATTTTTTTAAAAAAAAATAGCTTTAAAACATTTTGTAAGTTTAAACTTTTGAGAACGTTGTAACTTCCTTTCTTTTATTACTTGCTGCCAATAAGTTCAATAAAAGAAATTGTTAGGTTTTTATAATGCTTATATTTTGTCATGGGTTAGGGCTGGGCCAGCCACCGAGCTGAGAAGTCAAAGTCACTGAAGAGAATTGGTTCTGTTTAGCTCAAACCAGGACATACTGTTAAGATGTGTTGCTTTTATTTTTCCTATTGTCACTAGGTATTTTTATTATTTAATCAGCTTTTGAGTTACTGAATATCATGAGTATCATTACTTGATCATTTCTACAAAGCTAGAATTGCTTCGAGCAGATCCAGAAATACAGAATGAGAACGAAACTGCATGAAAAGTAGTGACAGGAGACTGTTCAGAAACAAGCCTCCACATACCTTTCAGTTACAAAACTTGAAAATACATTAGTTTCATTATAACATTTGCAAGATACTGCATTTAAAAGCTTGTGATTTGACAGTCATTTCAAACTTGCACGTTTCTCTGTAAACCTTTATTTCCATTTTTGAATGGCCTGTGTTCACCAGCTGATAAGCCATTTTGATGATGGATGAAAATTAATGTTTGTTTTCAGTCACCATTCACAAGTTTTCTGTCAATGGAAATAAAAACCTAGGAATCTACTGGTATTTAGGACAAAATGCATGTTTCCTTGCCACAGGCCAGCCTTAGAGACAGTCAAAGCTTTGGGGCGCTGCTAGAAATGACAGGACACAAGGGTTCACATGCCCAGTCAAGAAAAACCATCAAAAGCCTTTCTAAAATAATCTAACGTACCAAAGCCTTACTGGTACCAGCAGTTCTCAATCACGATTGCTTTTTAACCAAGTGAGCAATTAAATCAAACGAAACTAGAAAAGGATGGGGTTTGGGAAATCACTAGCTGAGGTGGCCTCAGCTGTTAAAAAAGTTACATTAAATCAGTTTTTGAGATGGTTACAAGTGTGCCAGACATCAGATACCCGAATGCACAGCGTATTTGTACCTTTGGAACAGAAAATCCCAGCAGCCGTGTGTCCTTCACGCTCTGCCTGGGAAGTGCAATCAGGACTATATTACTGTATCGCTGGATCTCGTGAATTACGGCGTTGGTGTAGGGCAGCTTTCTTCTGTCCTCGTAGCTAATTAAACGGGAACAACCCAGAACATCATCCAACTCCTTCTGGACTTTCCCTAAGGAGGAATATTCGGCTTTAAAAATTCACCAAACAATCTATAAACTCTATGCTCATAATTTTTCTCATTGCTTTTTCACTAATAATAACATCCAACAAGATGAAAAAGATATTTTATAAAATGAGAATGTCTTCAAATTCCCATACAGATGACCTGAATTGCTGTTGTAGTTGTTTACAGGCTGCATACTCAAGTAACCCTTTAAAATCATGGTAGCAGAAAAAGACCTACAAGAATATTTAGGTTCCTGTTACATTTATTGCTCTGAGGTAATTTATAAAAAGACTTTTATTAATATTTATTTTTAGAGGCAGGGAATCAGCTGGAAAATTAAATATTAATCACGTATCAAGAGGCCAGTTTAGTAGCTGATAAGGATTGCTCTTTGTTCAGAATCACATAGATTTTGCTTGCCATCTACAGATGGCCTAATTGCTATTCTGTAATTAGCTGCCTTGGGAAGCACTTAAATAAATTATTTTTTTCTCAAGGCTTATTTAAAAAAAAACTTAAAATCTGAGCAGAAATTGTAATTTCTGATTAATTTCTGAGCTAAAATCATCTAATTAAGACTTTTATCACTGCAATTAAATTTACCCTACGCATAAGAAAACTTAAGAATGTTTTAATATATTCTGAAACAGTTAAAGATTGTGTTGTAAAAATTCAGTATGTGCAATCCAGTCTCAAATTTTAGGTCTTCTGAAGAGCTGTTGGGTAACAACAATGGGAGAGCCTTTCTTCTCACCACTTCCACTGTTTTCTTCTTGCCAGCTTCCTCCTGTGCTTGGTACCCAGCTTAGACTCTCCAATATGAGGCCTCTGAAGTGATCTGTGCACCTTTTAATCCTTCCTGTCCTGCACACTCTGACTCTTCCTTTTCACTTACTTTACTTTGCCAACCTCTAGCTTTTTTTTTTTTCTGTGAATGTCATTATTAAAAGTACACAGTTTCAAGCTACTCACTTTTTATACCTGTTGATATGTAGATATCTATGTTCAAAGCTCTAAGCTTCATGGAGTAACTACAGGTATTAGCAGCCCATTACTCTATCAGAATTATTTCTGCTGCAAAAAATCTGGGGACACATCAAAGAGTAGCAGCCATGGGTTGAAAAGGATGGCCTGAACACTCCACCTTCTCCTCAGTAGATGTCTCATCATTATCATCGGTGGAGGGGCAGCAGTGCAATTTTTCTCATCTGAGATCAGACTCCTCCAGCTGACCAGCTGAATGACACCCTACACTCTACACAGAACTCTTAAAAATAAAACCTGAAATGGCTGACCTGCATGTTAGAAAGGTTACAGCAGGAAGCAGATACTTGCACTTGGGTCATGCCCTAACAATTAGCTCCTCTCCTATTCTTCGAACAAGCTCTACTGCTGTTTGAACACGTATAGTTTCTAAAAAGCTGCAGCACTCTTTGGGTCTGCTTACCTTGAACATCAGGATAAACCACCATATAGAGCAATGCCCAACGTAAAGTGGTGGCTGTAGTTTCTGTACCTGCGATAAAGAGGTCGAAGATAGTCTGCATCAGATTTTCTTCATCATAGGTAGCGTCAGCGTCTCCTTTAGTCTGCAGATAGGAATTGGAAAGATCAAGTTATGGCACACAGAAAAAGAAGTAAACCACCTTGCATCATAGGAATATTTATTGACTACTATAAAAAAAAAAGGACTAGGAAATAAAATTTTCTGAAGAATGCAAAGACCTTTTATAATATTTTCCAATACATCAGTCAGTGGCTGCTATCCATGTATTATTTTGTTCTTTAAACATGACAAAGTTAATAACTGTACATGCTTTCAACTCCTGCCACAAATCGCATTGTAGCAGTCATTTCTAGTTGCAGCTTAACCATATGCAGATCTGTTATTATTGTGGTTATAGATAATCTACCTGTAAATCTGCTTACATTATTACTTCATCCTCCCCCCGTCATCTTAGTGTCAGCTTTTTAAAATTTAGCTACTTACAAGTTTTCCTATGGAGAAATTGTATATTTCCACATTTATATAGGACATCGTTATAATCAAAGAAGCACTTAAAATCCCTGTTAGTGGAGCATAAGAAGAGTTCAGTGATACTCACTTTATCTATCTCATCCAAATAGTAATCAATAAAATCTCGATTTTCATCTGGTTTTCCTCTTTCTTTGTGGCTTTTAATTTCCTTTGCTAATAGAGCTTTCACAAAGTTTACGCTGGACACAGCCTGTTTAAATGGTGCTAGGAAATATTTTGCGAGCCAGGGAAACATTTCTGTTACCTATAAAAGAGATATTTTAGATATTACTGACATTAACAAACTAAACTTGAATCCTAATACAGGTTTTTGGGTAGTGAAAAAATGAAAGAAGCTGATGATCACATTTTCACGATCACAGTGAAGGGACAGTTCCTATCTCATGATTCATTAAAGCCTTTCTTAATCCCATTTTTCCCTGGAGCAGAACTTCTCCTAGTTCAATGCTATAAATTTTCACTGTGACATACAAAGAAGAAATGAAGTTCCTCCGCACCCCAGCTCTTCACTGGGCTGAACTTCAGTAGCAAGGGCCTCGTTTAAAACATGTCCCTGACCTCCGTTTATCCAACATATATGAAATATCTATCTCATCACTAAACAAACAGATCCAGGCTGACTTCCTTGACACACTTGCTAACTGAAAATAGAAATATCCAAACTCTTACTCTATACCCAAACCTGTCTTGCTGTGGAATACTGAATGCATGGGGATTTTACTTAGATACACCTTCTCATAGGTAAGAAGCAAAGACACCACATGCCTGTGATTCGCAATACCACTTGATGAAGTAGAAATACTGAGCTGTGTGGATTCCCTGCTGTTTATTCATTGTTCTAAACCTCTTCACATTCTTGCACTTGTACCATTATAAAACCACATCTCAGCAGAAAAGGAACAAAGCACTTTTTACATTATTTCCATTTCTCTACTCCATTTCCCTTTCTTTTTTTTCCCCCCTCTTACAGATGGCACCATGTCCTTCTAGTTTATAGAATTCTTGCAGCTTAAATGATGCATTAGGTCATAACTCTTGGGCTCACCTATTTAAATGGCAGCTGCATTATGAAGATTTATCTTTCTACAAACCTGTTCAGATTCCTGGCTTGTATTTCTTCTTGGTCCTGCTGCATAATTTTGCTTAAAACTACCTGCTCACTTACCAGAGGCAGAAATTAGTACAGACCATCATTAAAGGATTACACTTCCCTGTGAAAGCACTGTAGGGAGCAGGACAGAATGGAATATTGGGCTGGAATGTTCTTGTTAGCTGTGGACACATCATCAAGGGGTTTTAAGGACAGTTTATACAAACACCTACTGAAAGGTGTCTGGAAATAGCTGATTCCATGTTTACACTGATTAGAAGATAGCTTAGGAGTCATTCCACCTTCGTTCTCTGGCAGAAAAAAAAAAATCATAAGTGGTTTTATTTTTTTTAACCAAAAGTATCACATCAGTCCTCAGATTCTGTAGGACATTGATTACAGCAGTTTCTAGTTAGCAAGACGTGATGGAAAATCACGCAAGATAGAAAGCTGGAGGAGTTCCAGCAAGTTCTGCAGAAGCAGGCTGCCTCCTACACTGCTGAACTGACTTCTTCACTATTGTGGTTCCCATTCAAAAATGGCTGAGGAAAAAACTGCCCGATGACAAAACTGCCCTGGTTTGAGGCAATTTGTTCTGCTGTTTTTGCAGCTGCACTCACAGCTTCACACAGGAGCAAGACAGCAAATTTTTTTTTCTGTTCAGTGGACCAGATGTGAAAATAGGAACTGCTGTCTTGAGTGGGGACGAACATCATCCAGCAGCTAATGGAGAGTGACTTCCAGCTCCAGTGCGTTACTGAATTCTCACAGGGGCATGCAGAGGTAGTACAGGTGCTACTGCCAAAAACTACAGGAAAAGCTACCATTAACCAATTTCATGATATGTTACCTTTACACAAAACAATTGTTCTACTTAAGCTTCTATGAATTTACCTGAGAGTAGTGACGAAGTAGCAAAGACCTACATTACTCTTGACATTTTTTGACAGTCATATGATGTGTTGACTGATCTAGTTGAGAGGTGTCCCTGCCCATGACAGGGAGGTTGGATTAAATTATCTCTAATGCCCCTTCTAGCCTAGGCCATTCTATGATTCTATGATTTCGTGTAGTGAAGAAAGCCAGCTTTGTCAGACAGAATTAAGATAAGCCTATTTCAAAGCTTTTCAGATATTTTACCTATATTCAGCTACTGAGTTTCAGTTACAGCTTCCAACACTGAAGTTGTACAGCTAGAGGTTTTCCAAGAGCGCCCTTTGTATATCTCCCAAACATGTAGCAAGCCTGTATGCTTCCATCCCTGTCCACTAGACAAGGGAAATTTCTGTGCTATGATGAAGGAAGCATAAGCAATTGAAACAAGTTTTGAAGAAGGCAGCCGGAAATACTGTCCTGATACGCACTCCAGCAATTCCAGGTGCATTAGTATTTATTTTTGTTATAGAAGTAAGAAGCGAGTTACCTTTTTCATTATCTATATGAAGTAAACAGATAAACAAAAGAAAATCTCCTCACAAAATAAGAGATGCTGTTCCCAAACGCTGTTATAGTATCAATGGATGTAAGAAGCAAGTTACCTTTTTCATTATCTATATGAAGTATAAACAAAAGAAAATCTCCTCACAAAATAAGAGATGCTGTTCCCAAACGCTGTTATAGTATCAATGGATTCAATCAAGCGGTGAAAATTTTCATCATCAATAGAGAAACGATGTCCAAGAACCACAGAACAAATCACATTTGAGACAGTATGAACAATAGGCATAGAGGGGTCCAGAGGTTTTCCTGGAAAAACAGTGAACAGCATGCCCCATTAACACCCACTGACCCTGCTTTTCCCATGGAAAGGAGAGCTGATAAGATTTTATAAACACTTCTGATGTCAACTAGACTGCTGGATGGCAAATTGCAATTTATTGGTAAAAGGCATAAGTAAAAAGTAACTTCAGACATCTAAAAAACACTGCTGATTAAAAAAAGGGAAGACTACTGGTGGGAATGGAATTAGTAGCAGTAGTACTAGTTAGAAAAATACCAAGATTTCACAGAACCTTGGTGTCAGTAGATCTCACATTTGGCAATGACCAGGGTATAAAACAGGTCAGCTGAGCCACTGCGTGAATAAGCAGGTGAAGTGAAAATAGAATCACCTTCCATTCTTTGCTTATATCCTTTACACTAGAGTAATGGAATAATTGATCATACCTACAGTTTCACCCTGTTATCAGCAGCACAATCTGAACAAAATCCCTCTCTTACCCAGGAGGCCACCACAAACGGTGTGAGCGACCTTGGTCAAAGCTTTTAATGTTTTGTACCTTGTTTTCCTTTTCTGCAGAGGGTTATGGGGTGTTGTGACACTTACTTTGTTACTGTTTGCTGTTACCTCGGTTCTGTGACCATGAGTAAGGCGAAACTAAGAAGAACAGCACTAACAGACAAGGACCATAGAGTCTTAGAACTGAGACTGTGGGGATTCACACGTAGCCCTTCTGCAAGGAAATGTCTCGTGCGGATCATCTGATACCAACCTTTGAGACTCAGCTCCGTAAACCTTTAATCCATTTCGGTGATCAAGTAGTTTCAAAAGCTACAGGTGACCCATTCTTCAGCTAGATCACCCATTGCACAGACTGACCCGCATGCTGAGTCACATACCATTTGTTTTCCGTAAGTATTTCACCAGGTGATGGGCCTCCTCTTGGAGCTGATACTCTTGGTCTTTTTTCCCTACTCCCATTTTCCTCATGGTTGCAAGTCCAAAACGCCTCTGTTGCTTCCAGAGATGACCATTAGAGAACATAACACCTAGGATCATAATGAACTAATATTGTTAAAGCTTTCTAAATTCATGCATTGATACAGTTAATATGTCAAAGTAGCTTCTCTTTCATTCTATTTTTTTAAAATTTTTTTTCAGCGATCTAGCAGCATTCCTCTTTCCTCTCCTTTCTCTTTCTGGTTGAGCCATCTATCTCCTGTATAGAAACTCTTACAATAGCTATAATCTCCCATTGCTGTTCTGACAGAATCAAAAGAATTAATGTTTCATAAAAACTCATGAAAATATTAACCTTTTTTTCCACTGTATATTATGGACTTTGAGGCTCCAAAACCAAGGTTAGAACACAAGAAAAGAATTTGTGAAAATAATAAGAATTACCATTTCCATGAGTTAAAAGGTGATACATATTATTCGTTGGCCTTCCAGCAACGTCTTCAGCCTGGACAGTCAGACCTTCCTTCACTGCCTTAAACCCTTGCAGGACAACCATTGGAACATCTGAAATCCATAACGTGAAGATGTTGCCATAGATTTTGGCCATCTGCAGAACAAAGCAGAGTCAGAAGAACATGGGTGAGAACCGGAATGTTTAAATCAAACAAGATGAACCAAACCTTTTCCCTCGGCAGATGCCCCAGAGTTGACTGACCTTGAGAAGAGAGCATCGAATCTATTCTTAATCCTAGTCAGATTCCTGTCTATTTACTAAAGATCAAGATGTTCCTAAAATGCCAGACAGCCAATATTGCCAAAGTCTGTGATCTTAGTTATTGCATGTCTTACAGTTCAAACGCCCTGCAGATGAGTTCTCATGTGCTTGCTGGAAGAAAGCATTAGCTCATGAGTTTTACGTGAACCATCTGCAGACTCCCCTGTGTGCACCAAGTGCAGCAAAAGTAGCTGGGGGAGTGGGTAAAGCAGGAATCACCCTCTCCTTTGCAGCTCAGCTGTGACAGCCTTGTCTCCACAATGCCTTGCACAGACGTCACTCAAAGTAGGCAGGACAGTCCTTGCCCTGGCTGGAGAATCAGGAGCTGCAAAAGCAAAAGGCTGAGGGAAATGGGACAGGGCATAGGTCAAAGCAGCAAGTCTGTGGGGAAGAGTAGGCTGGGAAGAGTGGGGAGTTGCCAAAACATCCCAAGATCTGCAGGACTAGAGGAGTACAAAATTTTGCTGCCCACAAGCAAACAAGAGGGAATGCATACGCACATTAAAAAAAAATTTATACATGTGTTCTTGCCCCTTTGTGTTTCATTTCATTTTTGGAAGAACTACTTTGTGGCTTTTGAAATCTTGAGAAGAGTAATACTACTGATATGGTTTAGGGGTGACCTTGTAGTGTGGGGTCAATCGTTGGACTTGATGATTCCAAGGGTCTTTTCCAACCTGAATTGTTCTGTGATTCTATGATTCTACTCTTCAGGTCTGGGAGGTCAGAAATAGAAGAAAACACAACAGACATGCCCTGGCTATGATATTATATTGTGGAGCCAGACTGCTTTGGCTTGAAGCATGCAACTTGGGAGAAGAGAATGGGCAGGACAGGGAAGGACCATGGAAAAGGAAAGCTGGGAACACAGAGTGAAAATGAAGTGCTATTATTTGCATATTTAAATGTTGTCAATATATATGTATGAGGAATATAAAACATAAATATAAATTAAAAATACTATAAAACA